CATTCTATGATTTTCTTTTTCATATTCCACTTGTAGAAAGTTTAAACCTTTAGTCTTTTCTTCAGAACTCTTCTTGTTAGGTAGGGTCCCAGAGGCATTTAAAGTACCAGTCAAGAAGAAAAGAGTGGCAGAAATGAGGCTTATTGACTGCTTTTTGGTTACAACTGGGGAAAATTAGCTAATTCAACAGTGCATATGGATCCTTTGCTGTCATTTAAACTGGGTTTGCCTGTATGTCCCATCCTGGGCGGAAAAGTGGCAAGAACAGGAAGCCGCAACTGGCCGCTTGGTAATTAATATTGCCGGGGCCCTTATCTGAAGTGCACAGGCCTTGTAGGATGGATGCAGTTAAAACCATTCTGAAATTTCTGAGTCTGTGATACTTACAAGTCTGAGTGCTGTGGGTTTCAATAGTGACGAGTATTTTTCATTTTGCAGCCGCTCTTGAGGAGTATTTTGATGCCAAAAAGCACTAGTAAATATGATGTGATCATACCTATGTCCTCTAAAAGAGGGATAATGGGCCTTTCAGATCCTTGCCACACATTTCATATTTTGTCAGCTATGAGAGCAAGGTCATCTGATTTTAAAAAAATGCATGTAGTACTAATGAGCAAATATTTTGGTTTTTTTTCTAGTTTTACTGGGGGTGGGAGGAGGGAAGGAATAAAAAAGAAAATTAAAAAAAAAAAAATCTGCTTTCCTGGCTTTAAAACTGACCAGACCAGCATAAGACAGTTCATATGAATTTGTTACCTTGAGTTTTGTAATCTAGAACATCAAAAACTTCAAAAAGAATATCCAGATCTGACTAGAAGACTTGTAGGGATGATTTGCTTCAGTATCACACTCACTAATTCCGAGTAGAAGTCTTGGTTTCATTAGCACTTGCTACAGTTTTAGTCTTATTATATTTCTGCTAGAGTAAGTGTTTCCATTTCTTACCTTCCATTGGGTTTTCATTTGATTTAAGTTTTCTGAAGCCAAATACCTGCAGTAAAGGCAGCACTGGGCTTGCATCGAGCCTGCATCTGACTGGGTCAGTCAAGACATTCTGCCTTTTAACCCTAAATTCTAAGTCAAGAGCACTTAACTTGATCTCTTATGGTGTAACAGAGCACACAAACCGAATGCTATAAATCTTTTGAGAGCTGGCAGCAGCAAACGGCATCCTAACCACAAACCCAACTGAATATTTTATCTTTCTCTGCCTGTGAGTGTAATTTTTGAGAAGTCACCGTCGGTTGAATCACTTTGACGGATGTCACTGTTGGTTGCTCGTTGGGTGAAACTGTCCCTGATCCCCGAATTGGTGCCTTCAGCCCTACGGAAGGTGCTACCACAAGGGGAGTTTTCTTGCCTTGGTTCTTACAGGGGTTTAATATAAATTACTGTCCGTTACAGAGCAAGATGCTGTGAGTCCGGTGAGGCAACAGGAAGAAAGGGACAGGAACAGCCACATCTGTTCTTGTTCTGGCAGCAGTAGTGTTGATAGACCCCCCTGGGGTGCCGTAATGCAGTTTTGAGTCTTTTCTTACCCAGAGAGCAGAGGTCTGAAGTGTTTGTGCGCCTCAATTTCTTGAGAAGCTTGCGCTCATGAGGAGTTCCTGGAGGGTCTGTATGAGACAGATAAGACTTTAGGAAGAAGGAGCCATTGCAGCATTAGAATTCCACCCTGAAAATACTCCAGCTACTGCTTAGCAAGGGCAGGGGTTGTGATATTAGCAAATTCGGCACTTTTCTTCAAAATCCTAGCACCTGTAACTTTACAGTGAGCCACAGGCTGAGCCTAAAAAGTTGTACAACTTGCAATGGGAAAGTATTTTCTTTGTTTGATTTAGATTTTGTATTCTTTGTTTAGGTTTCTCTTCAGGGGCAAATTTTTGAAACCATCTAAGAAATGTTCCTTGACTTAATGATTAGTAATAAAGAAAGAAATCAATGTTATGGATTATTAGGAATGTAATAGAGGAATTAAATGGAAAACACTGTGGTAATTTAAATCTGCAACAAGCATGTAAGAACTGTATGTAATCCTTTTGTCTTCATTTCAGTTATGAATGAAAAATGGTTTAGAGAAGAATGACAATCGAACCTTCAGGGGAAAAAAAATACAAAAACTAAGGCATATGTAGTTTACAAAATCAGAAGTGTAGAGGAGAAGGTAGATAAGGATTTATTTCAGTTCCTCCATAGGAATGAGAGGCATAAAATAAAATGGCATTCAGTGGCATTCAGAGAAAACCAAGGAAGATGGTTCTTCACCCAACGTGATATTAAGCTGCCATGTGGTGGTATGGATAGCAAAAATTTCCATCATCTCAAAGGATGACGGTTCAGATTCCTGGAAGAAAAATAACTTGCAAACGGTTCTATGAAACAGATAATGTTTTCTTAAGATGCTTTTGAGCTGCATCTTGCTGAGGGCTGGAGAATCTTCTGGGGAAGTCCAGGGATGTCCTTGCCTTCATCTCCCCCAGGCACCTGCTGTTGGTCACTGCAAGGGTCAAGAGAGCAGGCCAGACAGACTCTTTCCCTGTATTTTCTCTACATACAAGCTGCAGCTATTTCAGAAATATTTGAGGGTACCTAACAGGAAACTGAATTTCAGAACCAACACAAAAGAGTTCTCAACTAGGATTACATTTTCTTGACAACACTGAATTATACACTTCACATCCTTTCTCTGCCTGGTCAAAGCAGTGTCATTAACAATACTTAACATGCAATTTTACAACTAAATGTACAACCTGACAAACTCCTGGCCGTGAAGTTTGTGGGTGAAGGATGTGCTCTCTCTATTACCTCTGAAAATTAGACTTTCATCTTTCTCAATTGGTAGTTACTGTGTGCTTCGTCATGTAATGGTAATTACTTACTGATAGAAATGAGTGGTGGTTTTGCATGAGCCTGGAAGATAGGACTCAATTAGACAAGAACTGACGTTTTGGATGAAGATGGCATATTATGTGATACCAAGGAGAAGAAATTTGGAAATACGTGGTTTGGGGGTTTGGTTCATGCTCTGCTCGCTGGTGGCTTCCTGCAGGCTCCTGGTACTCATCTCCAGCTGCATTGTTTGAGCTTTTATGGAGGGTGATATGAATTCTCTGCTTCTGGTGAAGTTTTATGACTTTGCAAACTCTGCTCAATTGCCTTTGTGTATTTGTGATCTTGCTAGGTTCCAAGAGGGATTATTAAATCATAGAATCATATAATGGTTTGGGTTGGAAGGGACCTCAAAGATGATCCAGTTCCAACCCCGCCTTGACCAGGTTCTCAAAGCTCCGTCTGACCTGGCCTTGAACCCCTCCAGGGATGGGGCAGCCACAGCTTCTCTGGCCAACCTGGGCCAGGCTCTCACCACCCTCACACCGAAGAATCCCTTCCCCACATCTCAGCTCCATCTCCCCTCTTTCAGTGTCAGACCCTTCCCCCTCATCCTATGGCTCCCCTCCCTGATCCAGAGTCCCTCCTCACCTTTCCTATAGGCAAGAAAGAAAAAAAAAAATTTTAATCTAGTAAATGCTAGGTATCTGGAGAGAAAAATCCTGGGTTTATGGCCAGTTTGCCCTGCTGTATTGTGTTTATTATTACTATTCCTCGTCTTCATTGTTGCGAGGTAAAATAAAACATTAAGTTACTTGTTTTATTGAGGGGAGGATCAATATTTTGACTTTTTTGGGGGTTGGTGGCTTGTTTTGTTTTGTTTTCAGAACTAACTATAAATATTTCCAGAGGCGTATAGTTGTGCATGAGTTTGTTTCCCTGCTCCATTAGTTGTGATTAGAGGGAGGGGGAAGGGAGAGCAAAAAAAAATAATGTTGTTTTAACAGTGGGAAAACAAACAGTTAAATCTTGTCCTGCCTTTCTGAATGCACACACCTGTAAAATACCACAGTTGAAAAAGGAGTATTTTTATGGGAGCTGTTTGTTAAAATAGTATTACCTGCCTAGATTCTTGGCTTCCTTCCTTCTATTCAAAATAAGTAGTAATTTTTGAATGGAAAAGAAAGCATTTTTGTAATGACAGAATCGACTTACTGTAAGCCTCATCTTGTCCTTAAATTACACTTTCGTTCCTAAAGAATGAAGAAATAGACACGTGGCTGAGGATGCCAAGTTGGAAAGGGAGCACTTTTCTCACTTTTTGGTACAGGACTGAACTTGATGGGGCATCAGAGCCTGGTTTTGCAACACACAGTGCTGGAATTATGTCACCATCAGTTTTGTCAGGACCAAGACATTTGAAAACCAAAAAGTCTATAGGTTTCTTCATCGTGTGCTGTTCTCTCTGAAAAGCAAAACATGGGGGATGAAGCTTTCTCAGTCAGGATTGATTTTTAGTGTATTTTGGATTTTACTAGTGTTGAAATATCAAAATATCTGCTTTATTCCTCTTTTTTTCTTTTTTCTTTCCTAAGCAAATAATCAACACAAGGCTCTAAATTATATCCAGAGTGGAACTTCTTATATCACTGTGACTTTAGTCAGATTCAGAGATAAAAACTTGGTAAACTTTTCTGCTAATTCAGGAGAACATAGAGTTTTTCTTCATTTTAACACTTTGGTCTTTGGATTGAAAACAAAATCTTGTGGAAGGGAAATAGTAAAAATTGCAGAAAAGCAGAAGGCAAGTCTTTAGAGTAGGACAAAGAGATGCTGAGATAAATATCAGATGTCAAAGGGGGAAAATACCTATTTAATTCCCGTATTTGTGGAATTATAACATTTTTTTCTGTAGGTGACTTAAGCAACATCTTAGTAACTGTCAGTTACCACAACATATGGCTACATGTTTTATTCATTTTATTATAACTGTTCTGGGAGCGTGCGTGGGACTGAGCAGCAGGATGTCTTTCATGTACAAAACACTGACCAAATATTAGTAAAACTGCACTCCTGGTAATCTTTTATTTAAACAAAAGCTCAAAAACCACCCCCATTTTAGAGGCCTCAGATGATCTAATAAAGGTTTGTATTGCTTTCTACTAACACAGGTTGATTACAAGTATGGGAGGACAGAAGCTGAAGACTTTGGATACACAAATGTAAGTAAATATTTTCATGAAGTGTAAATGTACTGTAAGAATATTAGTGACATGCTTTCTCCTTTCCCTAGATGTCTTGTGGCCTTCTGCCTAATCTTTGGAAACAATGACTGTGACACTGATGTATTCAGTGCTATTGTGCCTCTTATATTAGAGGGGGGGGGAAAAAAAGACACTTCAGAATAAGATATTCTGCTTAAGACACATTTGGACAAACCAGGGGGTAAATCTGCCTGGGAAAATGGGATTTAAGTGTCTAGAAAACAAGATTAGCCTTTTCCATTTGATCTTTGGTGAAATCACGTTGAACTGAGATGTTTCGGAGTTGACAGCTCCTCGTGAATTCACTTTTTTTCCTTCGTGTCCCTGAATTTGGGGAGCAGAGGCCACTGGCCCCACTGCCCCTCCATTGTCCCAGAGCTCTCCGGAGTCAATTCTCATGCAAGAACTTGTGCTGCCTGTATCGAGGAGTGAAGGCTTCACTAATAGTATTTGACATTATAATAGCTTTCCAGCCAAAATTATAGAGGAAGATTAGATGGGTTCAAATCTCTGTGATTAATAGGATATGTTACTTCACGCCATTTTTTCTTCTTTGAAGTGAGAATGCATAATGAATGTCGTAATGTAACTGTAGGCCTTGCGACTTCCTATAGTTACTACCTCAAGTGGGTGGCAAAAAAAAGTAAATAACAACAAAAAATGTAAATGACAGCTATCTCCTTCATGTTTCAATAAAAACCAAGCAGAAGCCTTGGTAGTTAATGCAAAAAGAAGACTATGTGCTGCTTTTTACTAAATTATGGAATGATGAAGACCACGTCCATGGCATAGTTAAAAAATTAATAATATTATCACAGCTGTGAAATTTATTGTGTGGCAGACCAGCTAAATTCAGGGAAAAAAAATAAAATCAGTGGGATTATTATATGTTCATAATTTTCTAAGAGATAATCAGCATTTTATATGGAGATGAAAAGCATGGCGTGAATTATGGAATGCCATGGACGTGGTCTTCATCATAGTTAAAAAAATAATAATATTACCCCAGCTGTGAAATTTATTGGTTGGCAGACCAGCTAAATTCAGGAAAAAAAAAAATCAGTGGGATTATTATGTGTTTGTAATTTTCTAAGAGATAATCAGCATTTTATATGGAGATGAAAAGTATGGTATCTCCGAAGGAGAGATCCCTCATGTGGAAGCTGTATCTCAGCTGGAGTTGTCTTTCATCTATTAATTCAGTTGGGTGGTTTGCAATTATTGCACGAGACAGGGTGGATACGTATGGAATCTCCTTGTCCACAGGTAAATATTTACTGTTTGCAATGAGAACATGTACAGAGGTAGAGGGCAGAACTTTCTACGCTGAGTCTCGAATGTTACAGAAACCAAATGTTGCATTCAGAGAAACTAAAATTAGGACCTCTCATAAAACCTGATACTTGTGAAAATCGGTCTCTTTCTATAAAATAATTGATATTTAGTTATGAATGAAATAATGTCTGGAACACAGTTGTCCTGTTTCCATTTATTCCATTCTTGTGAGATACGTGAAGGAAAAGCAGCGCTGTTTAAATTATAACCCTAAATTTGGTTGCAACAGAAGGAAGGGGTCAACTTGTGGGGAGTTCTCACATCTCGTTTGCATCCCATAATACGTGCAGAGTATAAGGACTACCATGGGGCTATGTGAGTAAGGAAACTGTGTGCTCCTCCACCAGTTTGTGAAATTCTGAGGCTCTGTATTGTATATTTGACAGCCGATGTAATTTTGCTCTCTTAATGTAGTTTTTGTCCAGATAAATTAGTTTTTGACCATGTCCTATGGAGAGAAAAACCCCTCTATAATGAAAAGTAATGAGTTTTAATTTAAAAAAAAACCAACACTTTCTTTTACTACTGTAAATACTACTTCGTTCTCAGTCTCTGTAGTGACTGATTTATGAAAAGAGCTCAGAATTAATTTCTGCCTTTCTCAGAATTAGCAAAAATGGCTCTGTTACCACAAGCTGTTTCAAATCCAGTTTGTAAGGATTACTAATGTTTAAAAAAAAAAATTGCAAAACTTTAACTGAGATAAGATCCACTGGTAGTTGTTATGGAAATTCACAAACCATCATCTCACATGACGTTAGCTTCACTTTATAACTTCTTAGACTGACTTCAGGCAATTGCAATGTGATTTTTTTTTTTCATTCGCTAATTTGATAATTCTCCAGTAAAACCTACTGATGTGTCTAAAAATTGAGATCTATCATACTTTTCAATTTTTGCTCAAATTAGACCTAAAAAGGAGCAAGGCATAAATCTAAAATGAAAGCACGAAGTCAGGCAACAACTAAAGGTTGCTCTTATTTTATCAAGTATATCACTATTACCTTTGCTCCATTTTGATAGTAAAATCACCAAGCTGGAGACTAATTTCATGGATTTAATTACTTGCCTCACTTAAATTCCTGGTCCCCTCTCCTCCTATGTTTCTTGGACTTTCTTATTTCTTAGACATCCCCTTATGGCATTGGTGTCCCCGGGGATGGTTTTTCCAACGTAGGTTCTCAACATGAGACTTCTCTTCTGTAGCTTTGGGATCTCAAAGTTAGCAGGTAGTCATCCCCTATTACCAAGAGAAAGTGAGAAAATACATTTTAGTGCATGTCTGAGAGGCTGAGAGAGCTAGCGGTGTTCAGCCTGAAGAAGAGAAGGCTCCAGGGAGACCTTAGAGCCCCTTCCAGTACTTGAAGGGGGCTCCAGGAGACATGGGGAGGGACTCTGGATCAGGGAGGGGAGCCACAGGACGAGGGAGAAGGGTTTGACACTGAAAGAGGGGAGATTGAGATGAGATGTGGGGAAGAACTTGTTTGGTGTGAGGGTGGTGAGAGCCTGGCCCAGGTTGCCCAGAGAAGCTGTGGCTGCCCCATCCCTGGAGGGGTTCAAGGCCAGGTTGGAGGGGGCTTGGAGCAACCTGGGCTGGTGGGAGGTGTCCCTGCCCAGGGCAGGGGGGTTGGAGCTGGGTGATCTTTGAGGACTCTTCCAACCCAAACCATTCTGTGATTCTATGATTCTGTGTCCTAAAATAAATGCCAAAGAAATGGAGAATGAGTTCCCCTCTGGAAGGGGCCCATTGCTCTTCATTGACTGGAATGACCAACCAGAATAGAACCTTAATTCTGGGAGGACAAAAGGGAGATGAGATCCTCTTTCATTTGTTGTACTCTTTCCGGGTGCGGTTGGTTGTGCTGAATATCTGCCCACACATGACTCCTGCCGAATACAATTGCAATTCTCCTTTTGGATTTCGCATTCTTTGGCCCCGTGTGAGCCAGTGAATGTTGGCATGATGTAAGAGGAATATCAAGTCAACGGTGCCCTTGAGGCATCCTGGCAGTTGCACGAATTTGGGGATTTCTGTGTATTGTGGAGGCTGGAACAAATACAGTTCAACTGATGAACTGAAGAAAAGGTCAAGAAAGAAGAAACACTTTTTTTTTTTTAATCTTTGCATGGTAAAAATCAGTAGAAATTGCCTGTAAACTTCTATTTTTAAGATAAACTATCTTTTTAATGAAAGCAAGCAGTTAAATGTGCTTTGCAATGTCAAACTGACAGCTCTGTTTTGGTAAAATCAAATGCTTTGGCTTTGCATCTTAGGAAGGGGGTGGAGGGGGGGGAAGGAGTTTGCTCATAAGGTCAAGTGTTCAAGCCAACCTGAAAGAATGAGTAGTGTTATAATTACTCCCACTGCTGTGCAAACATCAAGCTGACTGATGAAATGAGCCTTCCTAATTATGAACTTTGATATTGTATATTTAGGGTAAGCTTTTGAAAACTAGTCCCAGCCCTTTTTGACCTTGACTGAGAGTCAAGATGGAACTCAAAATGTTGTTTTACTCCTCCTGGCCCTCAGCATTATTATTTAAAAAGGCATCTGCCACACAGTTTAACTAAACAATAGGTCACACAATGAATATGCAGAAAAAACCCCCTTGAAACTGCTGTACTGCAATGTCTAGACTTTGGGGGGGTAAAAAAAAAAGGGAATAAGCTTTTCCTCCGCAGTTTTAAAACTCAAATGACTTTTCAAGACCTCCTATGGATATTAACAGCCTCGCTATTAATATCACTACATGAATTCATCGCTTTCCCATTCCAGAGCCTTATCCTTTTTGGATAAATCATCAACATACTTGGATAAGAGCAAGACAAGAAAAATTCACTTATAAAAATCAGATGTGATTTGAAAGAAGCCTATTAAAATGTAAAAGGATAAAATTACAATTAATAACTGTTCCTAATTCCCTCTGGCCTCTTTGATGATTTCAGTGCAAAACCATGGACTATCCGGTGAAGTTAAGACTCATTTCAGAACTGTGTGGAAATAAATATCCCTTCAGATTATTTTAATTTTAATTTAATTTTACCAGCTAATGTGCCAGAACACTGAAAATCCACCAGTAAACATGGATTTTCATTATAAGAGATTAGTCAGACTAGGAGTAACCCCAGAACCTATATAAACCTCCCCAGAACCTGGGAGCGCTGGTGGACAAGTTGCCCAGGAGCCAACAATGTGCCCTGGTGGCCAAGAAGGCCAATGGTCTGCTGGGGGGCATTAACAAGACCATGGCCAGCAGGTCAAGGGAGGTCATTCTGCCCCAGTGAGGCCACAGCTGGAGCACTGGGTCCAGTTCTGGGCTCCCCAGTTCAAGACGAACAGGGAACTGCTGGAGAGAGTCCAGCAGAGGTTGTGAAGATGATCAAGGGACTGGAGTATCTCTCTGCTGGGGAAAGGCTGAGGGACCTGTGACTGTTCAGCCTGGAGAAGAGCAAACACAGAGGGGATCTCATCAATGCTGAGCAATATCTAAAGGGTGGGTGGCAAGAGGATGGGGCCAGGCTCTTCTCAGTGGTGCCCAGTGACAGGACAAGGGGCAACGGGCACAAATTGGAACATGGGAAATTCTGTCTCAACATGAGGAAAAACCTCTTTCCTGTGAAGGTGGCGGAGCCCTGGAACAGGCTGCCCAGAGAGGTGGTGGAGTCTCCATCTCTGGAGATCTTCAAACCCCACCTGGACATGTTCCTGTAAGACCTGCTCTGGGTGGACCTGCTCTAGCAGGGAGTTGGACTGGATGATCTCCAGAGGTCCCTTCCACCCCCAACTGTTCTGTGATTCTGTAAAAAGAGCTAGAACACAATTATGACTAACCTGCTGGGGTAACTAGGGAGGAAAAACGAGTTGTGGCTCCTAAAAAAGGTGATGACAAAGCTGGCTTTTTGATCACTCAAAATTTTAAAGTTGAAAAGGTGAACTCTGTGCATCTCTGAAAATTATCTTGAAGTAATAATGCATATTTTGGAGCCTATCTTTTTTTTTTGATTAAGAAAATATCTGCAAATTTTAGCTTTTTTTTTATTTTATATGTTTGTCTCTCTACCTCCTCCTCTATCTGGATCAGCCAGTTACCCTGGGAAGATGCCATCGCCGCAGGGAGTCTTACTAAGAAGCTGGGGTGGTTTTAGTTCTGAATGCACTCAGGCTTATGTTCATTATCAATAGAAGAGATTAGGTTGAGTTCCACAGCTGGAACCTGCTGCTGAAAATGGTCTGGTGACCCACCCTTTGCACTTCAGAGTTTGTAGTTGAAGTGTCCCTGGGGGGTACAGCCGTAGGTTTGTGATGGGATAGGAATTTGGAAAATAGATTAGGCCCAGTGTGTTACCCTCTTTTTGGATCAGTAGTAGCTGCTAAAAACCAGGTTACAAAGAGATAAGTAACCAGAAGGAGGATGATGTGCTTTATGAAGGCTGCTTTGCCCAGTTCTGTGCGTCAGCCAACTGGTCCAAAGGGCTGAAAGTCAAGAGACTGGCCAAAGAAGAGGTTAACCAGTTCTGCTGAAAGGAAGAAACAGTTGAGAACTGGTCTAAGAGCTTCTCATATTGCATAAATTCATTAATGATAAGGGGGGAAATCAGCACTGTTTTCAGTATACCACAGGGAACCGGGATCTGTGGCACCCAGCCTTGAGCCCTTCGGAAAATGAAATTTCCTGGCCAGACAGCGAAGGAAGGAATTACTTGTGGCCTCTGATGCAATCAGCATATCAATGCACCTTTGTTCCTTAATTCTTTGTTATTGCTTTTTTTATTATTTTTATTATTATTATTTTTAGCGGCTTTTGGGAAACGAAAGGGTTGGGGATTTTGAATTCTTACAGATGGTGGCTCCGTACCCTTCTGGTTTTGTGCCTGGGATGTATCCCCAGGTCTGATAGCAACAATAACACTCTTGATTCAGCACAAAACATACAACTTTTTGAAGGGAACATGTTATGGTTTTATTAAGCAATTGTGTAGCAGAGAACAAAACCTTCCTAGTAACCAGGCTAAGCGTTGTGCCAATTTATTCTGTCAGTAATGGCAACTGCCTGACCAAAATTGGTATGGGGGTTTCTTGGTTTGCTTTATCTCATCATTTGTTTTAAAGAATAAATGGATAAATAAAATAAAAAATCTGTTTCTTCATTGTTTTTCTGTGATACGTATCCAAAAGCAGATACATGGCTTTTTGTTTGGGTTTTTTTCTTTTTAAAACAGAATAATTAAATCTAGTTTCAGCGGTGATGGCAATAGCACTCTGTATTCAGTTCATGGTAGATTGTAAAGAATATCTCACAGATTGGATTTGCTGTGTACTCGCTTCCAACCCTATCTGGTGGACTGACTTCCGCTGCAATAATGATGTGTAAAAATAAGTATTTTTGTTATGACTAAGCATACGTGGTCTGAACAGGAGACTAAAAGACAAGAACAAATTTACTTTGTGGTTTGGACCTGAATCAATGAGAAATTGATTCAGTTTCCCTCAAAATATAAGAAACATCCTAATTGGCTCAGGGAAACCATCTGTCTAGACTGTCTATCTGGTTTTGTGTCTCTGAGAGTTGCAATTGAGCATGGTATTTAGGGACAACACATTCCAGAAGTTCACTACCTTGTGTGTCAAGGAAAAAAAACCAAAATCAACAAACCAAAACCCAACCCAAACCCCATCCCAAACCACAACCCTCTCTTCCATCATTTTTAAACTGATCTCCAACTATTTTCAACTATGTGAGAAATGAAGATGGGCCTAAGCAAGAATCTCAAATGTGAATGTCCCCCCCGTTTGGGCATTTTTGGTGTCTGAATCAGATGGGCTGAGGCAAACCCTGACATCCTGAACCTCGGGAGGGAAGTTTCAGCCAAACCTTGTGATAGGTCACTAATGATGCTTTTGCTGACCACAAGGAACCAAAGGCAGTGAATACACCTTCCCTTTGTGACGTTTATAAGTGAGATCTAGCTAGCAAGGTTGGCATAGACAGGCTCGAAATTGGAAATAATTTTGATAAAGTCAAGAAATGACTGGGAAAAAAGGAGGTAGTGGACGCCATTGTGTTGGGAAATGTCGGTGCTCCACTTCTGTTGGAAAAGTCAGATCTAGGACTGCAGGAAAGGGACAATCTGGCTGGATAGAAAATTTTCACAAAATATCCAAGAGTTACAGCTGATTGCAAGCAGAAAATGACCCTGCATAATTGGCAAATGCCATCTGGGAATGGACCTGCAGGGGGATGGGTTGGGGTTTTTCATTCTGCTCAGCCCAGGTCAGGTTTGAAGTACCCTTTTTGGTGCTGGGCATCATCTGTCAAAGAACCCTTGGGTCAGCTAAAGGTTATTCAAGGGACTGTTATATGGATAACAAGAACTTTAGAAAATTAAAAATCCCCCTTGAAATTTTGGAAAAGCTGATCTTCTTTAGCTTAAAACAAGATGTCTAAGGAAGGCTAAGCATTCAAAAATGTAAAAGCTTATTATAAAAAGAGCAGGAGAATTTACTTTGGTAAGGAAAACCAATGAAACAATAAGGAAAAATGAGGATCATAATCAGTAATAACACATTATGCTATTCTGGGCTTGCAAATGAATTTGTCTCAATACTCTTTGACAATTTTTTTTGAAGTTTTAATACCTCAACAATTTGCGTTTGACGGGTTTTGCATATTTTTAATTTCCAGAACAGCCAAAATATTGAAGAGAAGGTTTGAAGCACTGAAGAAAAAGAGGTGGGAAATGCAGCAGAATATATCTGAGTGGAGAAGAGGTATGTAAGAACAAAGTTAGTGAAAACTGTCTATATAGAAATAATTATTTCTGCCATTGTTTTAGCAATCATATGGAAATGTCTCTTGAATCGATTTAGGACTGTTTTGTTCTGATACAACCCAAAATTTTCTATGTGTAATTGCAAGAAAAAAGATTCTGAAGGTACATACCATGATAAGAGTTTGCGTGTGTCATGGTCCTATGCTGTTAAGGCCTAATATGTTTTGTTGAATCTACATTTGTTTATATGGGGACATGGCTTCAGCTATACACAGTTTAGATTGTGCACAGCTTTCTGTTAAGAGGCAGCATAAATTCACCATCAGTCATTTTGTTGTTTATAGTCAGAGGTTATAACAATGAGCATCGTCACTGCACGGAGAGATTAATGAGTTTACAGGATGTTAAACCGCTCTTCTCCACTTACCTTTCCTTGTGTGAGACCTTGGATCACAAGAGAGAAGAAAAACTATGGTAGAGAGAAAGATCCTAATATAAGATAGCTGAATAAAATGTGTCCTGGGGCTTTCTCCTTTCTAGATTTTGGGCAGCTCTAGAGATACGTAATTTGCTTTGGGGAATTCAAACACTTCTCTTGAGATGCCTGTCTGTTTGTGCTGTCCATTTTTGCACCATAATAACCTCTTGTATAGCAGGGGTTGAAAGGGATTTATGTTATTGCACTCATCCAGTCTGTAGCATTGGGAAGTTCTAATGTTGGATGCCAATAATCAGGATTCTGACAGGTTAGAAAGAGGATCCCTGAGAACAAAGAAATCCCAATAATCCTGTAATCCCTGAATATCAAGGGCCAAAGACTAAGGATTCTTGCCTCGTCAATTAATTTTCAAGAGGGACCAATTTTCATATCAAACGAAAGAGAAATTTCTAGATAATAAAAAAGTGCTGGTTACAATGTCAAACACTGCAGAAAATGATTTTGCAGTAGTGATGTCTTTCTCACTGAATTGAAGTTACTCATCCTGGTGATATTTTTAGAGAAAAATGAATGGATAAAGCTACATTTCATGATCCCTGCCTGGAGGTTTGGTGTAGAACAGTTTCCCACAGGTTAAGTTTTACAGTGAAGATACTCGATCGAAGTCAAGGAAAAGATTTCAGTTGCTTTTCATGATCTTCAAGCCACCACTCTTAGATCCTTTTCTAGGATCATGTAAGAAAATATGAAATGAGGCCCTGTACAAAAAGAAAAATATGTTTTTAAATCTCCTTGAGAGGAATGAGGAAGACTGTTATGCACACAAGCAGTAAATCTGCAGTATTCCTAAATGTTTCCATTAAATCATACCTGGTTCATATGTAGAAGAGTGTTTGAGGAGAGAAGTGAGACTACAGCCTGAAATCCACTGCTCCATCCTTTTTTGGTAGCTGCGTGTTCTCTTCCGTAGCACCGGTTACTGGAAGGGGACGAGCGATGTGATAAGAAACGTGTAATAAAACTTGGGATTGAAAGATTCAATTGGCAGCAAATGCACGAGTGAGCAGCTGTTCGAGTAGCTTGGCACTGATCCTGAAATGCCTTTTCCTCCTTTCTTTTTTTTCCCTATACATATCAGCCTCGTTTGCAGTATTTACATAGGATTTTTTAATAGAAAAAAAAAAATCGATATAGATATTTAAGCTGCTGGTCAATACCCACATTTTTTCCCCCATGCTTTGAAGCATTAGAGGAAATATTGGGAGAGTCCTATCTGCAGAGGAACTAAGGACTGAAGCTTACTACAGTGCTGTCATCTTTTGGAAAGGCTCCAGAATGGCTCTGCCACACTCTTTTTTGTTGCTGCGCCTGGGGAACAATGTTTTCTATCTTTGAGGCAGACATTAAATATGAATTCCACTGAAACTCACTCTGTGTGTTGAAACTAAAGCAAACCATGCTACCTGTCATTTCCACTCTTGGACATGCCTCTGTATGTCTATTCAAGAGAAGAAGGCAAAGGAGATTGGTTTGAATCATAGAAGAAAAAAATTAAATATAAGGAGAATGGAAATGACATTCTGCGGAAACATTTAACATTAAAATTTAATTCTAAAATAGGCAAATAGACCAAATTACAATAGTATGCTGATGATTTTTGTTGCTGCTGTAGACTCTTTTCTGTTTCCCAGTCTCAGGTCACATTTCTTACAGTGGTTCCTGTGACTTTCCCCATTTCTGGTGAGTGGTGACGGGACCCAGGGACTGCCCCCCGTTCCAGAGTATATTGGGAATGTGTTGGGGATGAACACGGCGGGTTTGTTTAGGCACAGGAGAGGAATGTGTTTGATGGATCTACATTGCACCAACTTGAACAACACAATGGCATCTGGATCTTTTAAAATTCAATTTTAAAACAACATCAAGAGAATTCATTTACAGCTGGCATCAAAGTTTTCCTTGGTCTGTCAGTGTTAGCTGTCGTTGCCATTGAAACATAACGGGGCAAGATCTAGACCTGCATCTCCCCACTTCTGGGGATGTCTCTTTAGAAGGTCAGTTCACTGCCAGTGTGCTTAGAACTTTGAATAAATTGTCTTGTAGGCTGACTTCTGCTTAATTGGAAGATAAGAGGTGGAATATTAATCATTAGGTGGTGGGGAAAGGCAAGAAGATTTTTAGATCAACAAACCTTTAACTTAGTGATCTTTTATGGGGTGGAAAGAAATACAGCCTGAATTGAGGGAAATCCTAAAGTCACCCAGACCCAATGGAATATTTATTTGTTTGCAAACAGAAGATATAACGTATCAGAGGCTTCAACCACTCCGTTTTAAAGCCCTTGTGATTAGACTGTGACCGGAGGCCCTGCGACTATGATTGCTGCCTTTCAATTATGACACTTCAAACCTGCCGTACCGGGCAGCTGGGGGAAACGCTCTCTTGCATAAAAGCCTTTGATCCCCTGATGGATGTTCTATGAATCGGGTCGGGGGGAAAAAAAGGGACAGAATGAGGGAGCTGGGGAAACAAATAACACAGCCAGCTGATGCTACGATGGCACAGCAGGAGTGGTGTGTTCCATCCCAGTTTGTGATTTAGTTACGGGGAGGCTACTCCTTGCCTGGCACTCAAATACTGAAACAATATTATCTGTGCACGGTTTATCAGGTGGATTTTATTAATGTGCTGCAAAAGAACTTATTTTCTACACCAGCCTGTGCCATTCCTGAGGGATTGTAACGTGTTTAAACTCCAACCAGGAACGCTGTGTTTCTATTTAGAGGGGTTTTGCATCCTGGACTGTGCTCTCTTTAGGCTTTAATCCTATGCTTTGATCCCCAGCGCTGTAAGGGTCCCCTGAAGAACAATAGGCTTCTTAATTTGTGTGCGTTATTTTATATCTTCATAGCTGTTCTGCTTAACTTCTGCCACTGTCTTTGCTTCATCACTTTACTGCGTGGTGACGACGTTAAAAAATTGTTAGTGCTCTAATAATTTTCTAGTAGTTATAAAAATGTTTAAACTGTAGCTCTATTTCAACTTTAGATCTCATTCTGATTGCAAAGGCTGTGATTGCTGCCTAGGAGCAAAATAATTTATTTGTGTATGGACAAGCTGAAATACCATTTTGGTAAGAAATAAATCAAAAGGAAGCGCAGGTACCTAGAGGCCTGCTAGAGACAGCTTTACCCTGAATTAGTTATTCCCAGAGTGTCATTCCTAAAGAAAAAGAGTGGTGTAACACAGAATCACGGAATGGTTTGGGTTGGAAAGGACCTTAAAGATCCTCTAGTTCCAACCCCCTGTCCTGGGCAGGGAGCAGCTGCCAGTCCCTGGCCAAGGGGAGCAGGAATCTGCACCCACCATTGATCTTTTGGTAAAAAGAGGTATAAAAGTGATGCAGAACAACTCGAAAACCTTTCAAACAACCTAAACAGGGATCAGTAATGCTGCTCACATCAAGCAGAAATAACAATAATAGAGGGAAGATGACTTTTTGCCGGGCGGAGATTTGAGCAGGAGGTAGTGCTGCCCCTGTGCCAGCAGCGTGGGATGGCTTTGGGGTTTAATAGTTCAGTTTTGGGTTTCTTTTCTTTTTTTTTTTTTCTTTTTTTGGTAACTTTTAACCACAGTGTAACTGTGTACTCTGTGTGTGTGTGTGTAACTGGCAGGCGGTTCCTACGCTGGTTTAGTTGGGGGTGCGGGGCGATCCGCTCCCTGGAGCGCCGGCGGGAGGAGGAGGAGAACAAGGAGGAAGAGGAGGAGGAGGAGGAAGGCCGCCGCCGGCCCCTCTCGCGGCGCAGGCAGAGGGCGCTTTCGCCATGCGCGGCCCCCGCGCACCCGCTGACAGGCGCCGGAGGGAGCGGGAGGCAGCTCCGGGGACGAGGAGGGCTCCGCGGAGGGAGGCGCGGAGAGACGCGGAGCCGAGCCCCTCGGGCCGACCCCCGCGGGAGGGCGAGGGGAGCTCCCCGGCTGGCGGCAGCTGCCCGCCCGCTCGCCCTCCTTCTCCTTCCCCTCCCTCCTCCTCCTCCTCCTCTCTGCGCTTCCCACCTCCCCTGCTCCCGAGCGAGCGCAGCCTCGGATGTCCGGTTTCCTGGGGGTTTTTTTTACCTGGCAAACTCGGGATAACTTCGGGGGAGAAGTCGCCGAGTTGGGAACTCTCCTGCGGGCGCCCGGGAGCCGCCGCCACCGCCGCATCTTCGCCATCCCGCGGATTTTATTTACTGCCTTGGATATTGCGAGGGGAGGGAGGGAGGGAGAGAGGGAAGGGGTGGGGGGAGAGAGGAGAGAGAGGACGAGAAGGAGCCTGGTAATTTCGCCCGCATTCCTCCCGCCGCCCCGCTCCGCCCTGCCATCTTAGCAGGATGCACTTGCTGGAGCTGCTCTCCCTGGGTTGCTGCCTGGCTGCCGGCGCCGTGCTGCTGGGACCCCGGCAGCCCCCGGCCGCCGCCGCCGACCAGTCCGGTCAGGGCTACTACGAGGAGGAGCCCGACGCGGGGGAGACGAAGGTAAGTCCCCTCTCCCCGCCGCCCGCCTCCTCCGCTCCGCTCCTGCCGCCCGCCGGGGGCTGCCCGCCGGGGAGCGCTCCCGGGCCCGGGTCCCATCCCGGTCCGGGTCCTCATCCCGGTCCCTGCTCCCGGTCCGGGTCTCGGGTCCCGGTTCGCATCCCGGTCCGGGTGCTGGTTTCGGTTCCCATCTCGGTCCGGGTCCCGGATCCCGGTCCCTGCTCCCGGTCCGGGTCCCGGTTCCCGTCCCGGTGTGGGTCCGGGTCCTCATCCCGGTCCGGGTCCTTATCCCGGTCCCTGCTCCCGGTCCAGGTCCCGGATCCCGGTTCCCATCTCGGTCCGGGTCCTCATCCCGGTCCCTGCTCCCGGGTCCCGGTTCCCATCCCGGTCCAGGTCCTCATCCGGTCCCTGCTCCTGGTCCGGGTCCCGGTTCCCATCTCGGTCCGGGTCCTTATCCGGGTCCCGGATCCCGGTCCCTGCTCCCGGTCCGGGTCCCGGTTCCCATCCCGGTCCGGCTCCCTGGCTCTGGTCCTTTCCGCGGTCTGGCTCCCTGGTACCGGTCCCTATCCCGGTCCCGACTCGCGTTCCCCGACCCCAGTCTGGGTTCCTGGCCCCGGTCCCCATCCCGCTCTGGGTCCCGTCCCGGTCCCTCCGGTCGCAGCGGAGCTGGGAGGGGGCAGCGCCCCGCCGGGATGGGGGGGTTCCCCGGGGCCAGCCCCGCTGCGGGGGGACAGGGTGACAGCGCAGCCCGGGCCCGGCCGTGTGTCCCTCGGTGCTGCGGGTGGCGGTGCCGCCGGAGCCTCCCCTTCTGCCCGGCCGCAGGGGGAAGGTTGGGCTTAAATTGGCAGAATCCGGTGAGAAACGCTCACAATTCGGTGTTAGTTTTTCGCCGGCGCTGGGAGTTGGGCTCCGCGGGGTGCGGCGGGGCTGGTAGCCCTGGCTCCGCGGGTCGCGGTGTGGCGGGCACACGCGGGTGCGTGGCTGTGGGAGTGTGTGAGTAGGGGGGGAGCCCTGTGATGGGTCCGGAACAGCCCTTACCCTCCTCTCCGTGTTTGGAGGATTTCTGACACACACACTGAAAGCCATCACGACCCAGCTCATTGATTATTCATTTCAGTAAGGGGCGGGGAGAGAAGTGTCTGGATTAAAAATTAACCTGATATTCTGATCATCTTTTATTTTTTTTCCTATGCTGTTTGGTATACTGCCTAGAAATTGGGGAGGTTTTACTGTAACTACATTGGAAGTCAAGTTTTGCTAGCGTACGCCAGCTGTACTTGTTTCAGCTGTTCAGACTCTGGTGGAACCATCTGTTGTTCACACAAATCCATGCTTTTCAAATAACATTCTGCCCTGAAAAGGTTCTCCTGTGCTCTCCAACACCGACTGTACTGGAGTCTCTTCCCCAGTACCCTAATTGCAGCCGAACGCTTACGTCGTGCTGTTCTGTGTGTTAGTCTGCTGGCAGCATTGTTTAAATGTTTGTCAAATATTTTTCAAAGGTGAGTATTTAAAAATAGGAAAGCGAAATGGGTTCAGCTGGTCTCTCTTATCACTTGGACTATTTATAAAAAAAAATGCAAAACTTAGTGAAGGGTAAAAATACCTCAGCTCTTTCCAGCCCGTGACTGCAAGGCAGTTATTTACTGGGGGAGACTGGTGTTTGGGAGCCTCAGAATGCTGGAAATGTAGAAGGAATAAGGCCAGGTTGGAGGGAGCTTGGAGCAACCTGGTGTGGTGGGAGGTGTCCCTGCCCAGGGCAGGGGGTTGGGACTCAATGGTCTTTGAGGTCCCTTCCAACCCAAACCATCCTGTGATTCTGTGGAGCATGGTCCATGCTTTGTACAGCTGGCAGTGAGGATGTTCTCCGGAGTGATGCTGTGCATCCTCATACATGTGTTGGGGATGGTCACTCTGCTTCTTGGAGGAACCTCCGGGTCCATGCTTTGTACAGCTGGAAGTGAGGATGTTCTCTGGAGAGATGCTGTGTGTCCTCCTACACATGTTGGGGACGGTCACTCTGCTTCTTGGAGGAACCTCCGGGTCTTTGGGAGCTGCCCTCGCACTGTGTAGAAGCACAAGTGCTCCCTGGAAAAAGGGGGAACTGTCAGGAAACCAAAGGAAGGGAGGTCAAGAGAGCAGGAAGGGAGTGGGACGGCGTGTGTTAAGCGGTTGCGTTAGCAGGAAAATGTCCTACTGGTGAGTAGTGGAGAGAGGGAGAGGATGACTCTGGATCCAAGAGGACTTAGTCATGTTGGAAGCCTTTGGTTGTGAGTGTGCTGCTTTTGCTGGAGCTGTTGGAGTGAGTGAGTGAGTGCTCTGCGGATGAGAGAATGCTGAGACGAGCATCTGAAGCAATTATGAAAGGATTAAATAAGTAAACTGTAAGTAATTGTTTCAAGGAAAATATGATTATACTGTCGGAAAAAAAAAAAAGAGTAATCTGCTTGAACTTTCTTAACTTCACTGAAAAATGCGGGATCACTCGAGTGTGTGTTCATAGATGTTATGTTTCCTCTGTTTTTCCTTGCCACCCCCCTGCTGCATATCCCACCCATGCCAAAGTGCGGGTCAGATGGCCTTTTGGGTCGAATTACGCAATATTTTTGTTTTTCTTTGCTCCTATTTTAAGGAACGTTTTTTAAAAAAGCGGGGCTGAAGCTGCGGGTGCTGCAGGGCAGGAGGAGCAGGCGGGCAGGCCAGGAGGGTGTCATGGTTTGGGGCAGGTGAATAGGTGCTGGTCTCACCCTGGGGATCTGCAGCAGCCTGGGAGCCCTACGGATATAAATAGTAGTAATTCTTCATACCCAGCTCCTGCAAGGGCATGTCCTGCAGCAAACGGGCACTGATAAGCTTGTGCAATGCTGCCTCCCCCCTTTTTCTTTTTTTTTTTCTTCCAGCCTAGGGGTAAAGTTCATTATTTAACGAGCTTACAGGGCCCAGATTAATGCATTTCAGCTGAAGTGGCTGCTGGGCGGGCTGGGGAGGAATCCTGCCCTACGTCACCTCTTTGGGGTTTCCTGCAGCACAGGGGGTTCCCCCGATGAGGGGATGCCCACCTTGCAGCCACAATGGGCTCCCTCTCCCCGTCTGGAGAAGGCAAGTGGGAATTTGGGTTCTCCAAAATTCATCCTGCTTAAGGTGGGAAGGGGGAATTGACTCCACTCCCGGAGTATGGATGGGAGCAGGGATGCTTGGAGCAGCCCAGCAAGGAGAGGGTGAGCAGTCAGGCAGCACTGGGGACTTGAAACTTTGGCTCTTTCTACCATCTGGGAATATTTAAATAACTCTTATAATGCGTTTAGTCTTTTGGTCTTGTTCCTTACGTGCTTTTGAATTGGGACCATGCAACGAGTATGTGCTCTCTACCCAGGAGGGCAAAGTATTTTAGTAAATAAATAAATATTTTCTTATTGTTTCTTTGTTGAAAGTTCTAAAATGAACCGGAGGGGAAATCTACGCACAAATTAAACTTCTTAGATTCTGACAGCAGCATGTGCCTGGGCTGTATGAATGGTCCTAGGGGTAGCAATAGCAGGTGCAGGTTATTATGGTGCCAGTACTGGTAATGGTAACGCTAACTGGGAAGCAGCCCCGCCGCTGGGAGGGTTTGCTGTGGCTGCACCTTCCTTTTGTTGCGTGGTCCAACCTCTGGGGTTACGTGACTCCACAAAAGCGACGCTGCTCAGGTGGCCTCTGTGGCTTTAGGAGGTTTAAAACTGTATTTTTCCAAGGCTTCCAACCAAAATCATTCCGTGATTCCTGGTTTTGTATTGGAATGGGAATATTAAATGGAAAAGTATCTGCCTGTTCTAAAGTGCAGCCCTGGCAGTGGCACTGGGGCCTCGTTAGACAGACAGCAATTAAGTACAGGGCAGTCCTTGCGCTGTGATTTGCTTTTTGCGATGAAAATAGGTGTGCTTACTTGAGCTCCATTTATCTCGGGTGCTACCTCAGCTGAGAGACACCTTTTAATTACTATTCTTTTAAATCTGACCTAATAACAAATGGCTAAGAGAGTTTACATACAACACGGTGGTGTGGGAGGGGAGGAAAAGCAGCGGGATAGTTTCTGGGGTTTCCTCCTGTCGCTGGATCTGGGGGGTGTAACCTCAAAGCCAGTGGGGTTTCTGGCCAGCTCCAGCCACTGACACTCTGTCCCTGCTGAGACACCGGGCTGGGGGGGTTTCCCCTCCAAAACCAAGCACCAAGCTCCCTCCCGGTACTCCACCAGCCCTAACCCCAGCGGGCAGGGAGGATGTTATTTTTTCTGCTCTTGCTGTTTTGTCTGCTGTGACTTCTGCTTTTCACGTGTGTGTGTAGCCACCCTTTTTTTTTTTCAGACCTTTTTTTTCCCCTCCTGTTTTCTAAGCACGGTTTGTATCCACTACAATGGGGTGAGCATGTAATAGGACCTCTTCTGAAGACCAAGCAATGCTTCTGCAAACATAATTATTAAACCCTCTGTGCGAGCAGAGGGCAATACTAAGCCCCCAGAGCTCCTGGTTGGTGGTGTAGGTATGTGCATTCCTGGGTCTCCTGTGTGAGGGATTTTAGGGGATTGCTGCTGACAAATCACTGCGCTTCTGAAGGGTCTCCAGAAGCTTTGGGGATCACTGTAACCACCTGCAGCGTGTGGAGGCTTTGCAGAAACATCCCCTCAAATATAGTATTTTTACGCTCAGTGTGTGTTTAAACTCTTGCTTGTTCTTCAAGGGTGTGTGTCTGCTTCTTTTAGTAAAAAAAACCTTGCTCTTCAGGCTGTTGTAGGTGAGAGTGATGGAAAAAATCCTCTCCCATTGATACCCCTCATCCAGGGTAGGACATCTGTCTCACAACCTCTTGTTCAGCTGCTTGAGTGTGGTCAGTGATTCATTAAAACAAAATGTTTGGAACAAAAGAGAATCCAACTGGAGTCAGCCTGGTATCCTATCAAGTTATAATATCCTTGTTTAATGTAAAAAATGTGCTACAGCTGTTTGTAGAATGAATTATAAGAAATT